TACGTCATATGCTTCTTTGATCTGATTGGTTTATTTGGCCCGTCTATCACCAACATAGGCCAATCAGCTAACCAGTATTTTCGCCGCTTCCCAAACTTACTTAAACCGAAGGTTTCCAGATGGATATGCGGAGCAAATCCATCTGGCGGAGTCAGGTTAGGATTTTATTGATCCCAGCTTTGGATATGTAAACATTGGAGCAAAAGAAAAGTGTATACAACCCAGTTTTTGTGCTTAAGAAAATAGAAAACCAGGAGAAAATCTCCCTTTGCACCTTTAATGTGAACTATAAGCTGTAAAACTTCATTAAAAAAAACATATTTCATAGAAAACATAGAAACCAAAACATTGCTGTTTATTTCTTGAGAGAGCACACCTCTCTTATAAGAAAGGATGTTGCGGCTGTGTTCAGAGTTCACTACTGTATTCAGACTTGTGTTAAATGGATACCATTAAACCCCTGCCATCATTTAAAGAGCTTCTGATTAACATCATAAAACGTTCAGCTGCTCTAATAGGTTTTTGCTGACATTTTCTTTGTTGTATTCTGCACCAAAAGCTTGATACTTTAAAAATGTGTCAGGAGAGGAGTACAAAAGAATATCCAATATTATTAGATACATCATGGAAGAGTATAAGTTTAACTAAGGCAATATTATCATGGTCAAAGGTGACAGATCTTGCTTTAGAGTAGGGTTGAAACAATGAATCTGATTAATCGTGATTAATCAGTTATCTAAATAATTTTCAACTAATTTGGCAATTGATTAATCACTAAATGGAGAGTAGAGACCTTAACCCCAAACCTTAACTTATACCAAGATTGTAGCAAAATCTATTAATATGCTCTATCCTGAACTCCTCAAAGGGAAAGGTTTTAGTTTCACCTGGTTTAATTTCATGAAAAGTACTTTTTAACGTACTTTTTTCTATCAGATTATTAATCGATTACTCGAAAAAATAATCGACTGATTAATCGATTTGTTTATTGTTTATTTATTTGGATCCCCATTAGCTGTCAGTAATTTGACAGCTATTCTTCCTGGGGTCCCTTTAAAATTACAGATACACAAAACATATTAAATGATCACATAATAATAATAATTATTTGAAAAATAATGGTTAATTGCAGCCCTACTTTGGAGAGTAAAAATAAAAAATAGTGTCTATCAATACCAAAAACAACATAAAGGAGATTTAAAATGTGAACCTACCAAGGAACAGGCTGCCAAGTCGGTAAGAACGGTCGAAACCCAGTGATGCACTCAAACACCAATGTGCCAAAGCTCCAGTAATCCACTGAAACTGTGTACTTTTGCCTCTCAATAAGCTCTGGGGCCTGGAAGAAGAACAAGGAAGAGTAGATTTAGAGCTCAGAATGTAAAGAAGGAGAAAGTTAAAAGAAGTCCAGTGAGATCATTGGTAAGACTAACCAAGTACTGTAATGTTCCCACAAACGATGTGCAGAGGCTGCTCTGGTCCAACTCCTTAGCGTAGCCGAGATCTATGATTTTATGGATGAGCTGTAATAATGAAATGAAATAAAAAGTGAAATTATCAAAGGATACATTTTGTTCTGCAAATGAAATACAACAATTAAAATGGGGACATTTTATGAAAGAAGTAACAGTCAGATTGGATTTATACCATTCCATTTATAAGCTGGAATAAAAAACATCAGTCCAGATATTCTGTCTTTACTTGATATTACATTTTATTAGCAAAAGAACTGAAAGATTGTCATCTTTTAGCTGAAGGTTGGTAATTTTAGCTTACAGTTAAAATTAGTCTGTGCAAAGGTTGTATCACCATTACAATGTTGAATAATCAACACATGCAAAATAGCAGTCAGCCACCATCTTTGGATTTTTACCCTCTGAATAAATTAAACCAGATAACTAAGCTCATTCTGTTCAGATATAAGTGTGCATATCTTTTATGGTTTGAATGGGTCCACCCTTGACTGGCGCCTTTGCTGTTTTCCCTGTAGTGATAACTGCTGTTACTGTTTTCTCAGCTTGTGCATTAGAAACACAATCTAACCCTCTATGGGTGCCTTTGGATGTCAAAGTCACGCTATAAGAACATTAACAAAAATATAGAAATATTCAAGCTTAAATTTTAAATGAAATTATACTTTTTTTAAATGCCCCCAATTTGTACAAGCGTGTAAGAGGATGGATGGATGGATGGATGGATGGATGGATGGATGGATGGATGGATGGATGGATGGATGGATGGATGGA